GGGAGCACAAACAGGTTTTACACTCAAATTCTGACCAATTCTGGCTCCACTCATTGTTGGCTGAATTAAGATGAGAAAAATCACTGAGCCTCTCTGTTAGCCCATCTATAAAATGGAATTGATAACCCAACCCCTACTTTCGGGGTTCTTGTGAGGAATAATTGAGTTAATGGATGTCCAATACTTAGCATAGTAAACACTAAATATTCAGTACTGGTGATATAATGGTTGTATAATAGAGGAGTACTAGCAAAAAGGACATCAGGCACAAAGATTACAGTCAATAAATATTAAATGAAATACATGAAATATTAACAAAAAATACCCAATGTACTAGGGAACATAAGAAGTATGTCTTTAGTCCTGGGAAAGTGACAAGTTGGTTGAAGTAGGAGCAAGGGCCCCTCCACCACTACCCTCTTTTCCTAAAAGGACACAGAAGAAAGACTGAGTCTAAAGCAAAGACAAGTTCCATTCCTCAGGCTTTCCCCAGATCACACTGTTAAGAGCTGAATTAAGCTCTTTTATTTGAAGGAATAAGGAAGGAAGCAAAGGATAGGGGGAAAATCAGGAAAGGAAGAAGGAAAAACAGAAATAAGGCAAAAATTCTCCACCCTCTTTACAGACTCTTGAAATGCTTTCTCCAAAAGCCAAGCTTTTCCTTCCACAATTAAAATTCAAACAGAGCAAACACAAGTTGAGTTTACTCATTCTAAATTACTGAGAATGAGTCGGTCAAATCAGTGGATCTTCCCAGAAGCAGTGTCCAGTGTCCTAGTGTCCAGGCCTGGCTCCAGAATATATTTGCTCAGTGACCTCTGGCACCTTACTCAACCTCACTGAGCTAACCATCCTACCCTCACAACCCTCACAAGTTCTTTCTTTTCTCCTCATCACAGTTTAAGGATAGAGACTGGCCAAATGTGCCAAGCTAGGAAACATAGGTATCACCCTTGCCTCCACCCCACAGTCACCACTTTGTAGCACCTACTTCTAAATCTCTTCCAATTCAGGCTCTCATCAATTCTAATCCAATTACTACAACAGCTTTCAGTGGAGCTCAAAGCCCCTAGCCACAACCACGCTAGATCCAAATCAATATTGTTTTTATATATATAAACTGACATCTTCCGATTGCCTGTTTTATTACAGACACTATTCTATGTGCTTTATACAACCATCATCTCATTTAGAATCTATCGTTTAGGTTTGTGGTAATGATGATGATGATGATGATGATTCTTTTCTTTTTTTTTTTTTTTTTTTTACTTTTTTTGAGAGACAGAGAGGGCATGAGAGGTTTCAAAAAAATAGAGAGAGGCTCTCAAAAAACACAGCGCTCTGACAGGCACACAGATTTCGTATTTCATGAACTCACAGACCACAAGATCATGACCTGAACCAAAGTCAGATGCTTAACGGCTGAGCCACCCACATGCCCCAATTCTCATTTTTTTAATGAAAAAACTAAGGTTTAGAAAATAAGCTGTTAGGGCACCTGGGTGGCTCAATCAGTTGAGCATCCGATTCCATCTCAGCTCAAGTCATGACCTCACAGTTTATGGGTTTGAACCCCACGAACAGTGTGGAGCCAGCTTGGGATTCTTTTTCTCTGACCTTCCCCCACGCATGGGTTCACACTCTCTCCCTCCCTCCAAATAAATGAACTTTAAAAAAAAAAAAAAGCTTTAAAAAAATAGGAAAGTAGGCTGCAACTCTTGATCTCAAGGTTTTGAATTCAAACCGCATACGGGGTGTAGAAATTACTTAAATAAATACAACTTTAAAAAATTTTTTTCTTAGGGCACCTAGGTGGCAGTCGCTTAAGGATCTGACTCTTTATTTCGGCTCAAGTCATGATCTCACAGTTCGTGAGTTCCAGCCCCAAGTCAGGCTCCATGTTGGCAGTGCAGAGCCAGCTTAGAATTCTCTATCTCTTTCTCTCTGTCTCTCCCCTGCTTATTCTCTCATGTGCTCTCTCTCTCTCTCAAAATAAATTTTATTTTAAAAATAAGCAAATAGATAAAATATTGTTTTTAAATAGGAAAGTAGGCAAGCTTAGCAGAGGGGCAGTACCACACAATGGCTAGGTGCCAGAACTCTGGAGTAAGACAGCCTGGGTTTGGATTCCCAGCTCCAACATTTTCCAGATAACTTGCACAAGTTATTTTCTCTCTGAGCATCAGGCTCCTTATCTGTAAAACAGGAATGGTACCAGTACCAACTTTACACCTTGATACAGGTGTTGGGAAGAAAGAAACTACTTAGCACACGGCCTCGCTCTCAGAGTCCTGCTCTTGCAGCCACACAGCTAGATTCCTTGTAGTTTCAGCCTCCAAGATCTTTGCTCAAACAAGCTGATTCTTCTGCCCAGTCCTTCCACACTTCCCTGAAGGGCTTGCGGAGCCAGCAGCCCACTCTGACATTCTCCCGCAGCAGTCTGGCCCGCTCTCTGGGCCACAACACTCAGCACCCTACATTGAAACTGCAGGTCTCTGAATGATCTCTCACAAGGCCTGGAACACTCTCATTGGAACCCTCAGCATTCAACAAGCAGTGTCCTTATGTGGTGGTCAGGTGCTTGTTAAATGTCAACTTCCTCACTGCCAAAATGGTATTGAAAACAAGAAAAAAGACAAGTATCATTCCCCTAGACAGAGGTAGGGAGTCAAGGAGACAATCACTCAGAGGCTCCACAGGCAAATGTAGGAACCATTATTACTCTTTAGGGACAGGGGGAGGAAAGCAAGGCACAGGGAATGAGGCACCTGAAGACACACCACAATTTTGCTCCCTAGGCCTAAGAAAAGTTGCATTCAGTCATGGGAGCTCTAGTCTATAAATGTTGATAACTGTGGAGTGGGTTTGTGTGGCTTCCTTTCAGAGAAGGGGATCCTTTATAAAACATAACTAAGCTATTCTTACAGGACTCCTTAATTGAAATATCACTATATCACAAAAGAAAACTTTTTTTTTTTAATGTTTTTATTTTTGAGAGACAGAGACAGGGCATAAGTGGGGGAGGAGCAGAGAAAGGGACACAGTATCCAAAGCAGGCTCCAGGCTCTGAGCTGTCAGCACAGAGCCCAATGCAGGCCTCCAATCCATGAACCATGAGACCATGACCTGAGCCAAAGTTGGACACTTAACCAACTAAGTCACTCAGGCGCCCCAAGCAAACAATTTAGATATAGAGTCATTACTCCATGGGCCGTACAAAGACATTTTCCTGAATTACAACTGTTTCACTGCATATGGAGTTTTAATGACAAATATATTACTTAATAGTCAACTAATTACCTTATTCTTTAAATATTAACTTATATTTGTGGCATATATATGCATATATATATATGTATGCATAATGCATTTTTCTTTTTTTAAAGTAGGCTCCACACCCAATATGGGGCTCAAACTCACAACCCTGAGATCAAGAGTCTACCAACTGAACTAGCCAGGTGCCCATGGCCTTCATTAATACCAGGAAATGGCTAACATTTACATCGCAGGCTAACTCCTTGACAAATATCTTATTCTCAACAATGCAGAGAAGTTGGCAGTATTATCTCATTTTACAGAAGAAAAGGAGGCTTAAAGCAAATATTTTGCCCGTGGCCACCTGGCCAGGTAGAAGAGTGGGGCTTTGAAAGCCAGGACCTCCTCCAAGACCCACTATACTTATACTACTTTTAAAAGTAAGACCTTTGGTGGGGCACCTGGATGGCTCAGTCAGTTGAGCATCCAACTCCTGATTTCAACTCAGGTCATGATCTCACGGTTCATGAGCTCAAGCCCCACGTTGGACTCTGTGCTGACAGCAGGGAGCTTGCTTAAGGATTCTATCCCTCTCTCTGCCCCTACCCTGCTCGTACACATGCACATGTATGTGTGCACTCTCTCTCAAAATAAATAAACTGAAAAATATTATAATAATAAGGTCTTTGGAAATAAAAATAAATGAGGCCTTGGGACATCTGCACATTAATGACATTAAGGGATTACTATTAAGTTGTTCTGTGTAAAAATGAAATAAAAAATTTAAGTATCTTTCCCTCTTACAGATACTACTGATATAGTTAACAGATAAAATGCAACAAACAGGAAGAGATTTTAAAAACAATCTGTGAGAAATAAAACAATAACAGTATACACTGAACTCTTCACAGTTTACCAAATTTTGATAACCATATACATTAGGTTTTCTTACTCCCACTTTAAAGATTAGGGAATGAAAGGAAAGGGTAACATTTACTGATACCACCAATGATCAATGTGAGGCAGTTACAATGATACTTGAGGGAGGAAACAGAGGTCCAGAGAGGTTAAGTAACTACTTATGCTGGAAGTCAGCCTCCACTGCCCATGCCATGGTGAGAGGCCCAGGAGGTTTAAGCAACATGCCCAAGTTATGTGTGGTCCCAAGATAATGGCAGGTGATGGAACTCAAACTTGGGCATTTTGCCTCCAAATCCTGGTCCTTGCCACCACATCCCATATAGCCTGGATATGATAGGTGCCCTCTTTAACTATCTTGCCTTTCTGAATTACAGAAGTATAATTCTTATATAGATCACAACATAACCAATTTCCTACTCATCAAAGCACAATTAAGGGAGCCAGGGTAGCTCAGTCGGGTGAGCTCAAGCCCCATGTTGGGCTCCACACTGGGCATGGAGCCTACTAAAAAAAAAAAAAAAGCACATTGGACAGCATTCACCACTCCATGGGACCAAGAGACAGTCAAACAGCACAAATCAGCCACTCTCAGGGGCCTCAAGAAAAGGGAAAAGGCAGGCTGAGCTAGAAGAGTTTGGCTTCTACAACTGAGGGATGTTTGCACAGTCAGGAACAAAATCTGGGATGAAATGCCAAGGCCACCTCTATAGTACCTCAGTTCTGAGTTCCAGACTGCCACCTGTTTGATATTATAATTAAAGTTTAAGCAAACCTCTGGGGGGAAAAGTAAGGCATTTAAGTAAGTGTGTAAGAGCAATGGGATCATGCTCACTTTGGCAGCACACACACGAAAACTGGAACAATACAGAGATTGGCATGGCCCCTGCGCAAGGATGACACTCAAATTTTGGGCATTTTGCCTGCAAATCCTGGTGTTTGTGAAGTGTTCCATATTAAAAATAATAAAAATAAAAAAGAGTACTGGAATTGCAGGCAAAGAAACTTGGACTCCATTAGCCAAATGACCTCAGACAAGTTATTTAATCTCAGTTTCCACGTCTACTAGATGAGGATAATAAATTGTAAAGATTCAATAAGCTCCAACAGTGCTCAAATAAAATGCTGGCTATGTTTATTATTATTGTAAAATATCCACATTTCTAGGCCAGGTTTCCACAATCTAGAAATCCCAACACCTGTGCACCTGTAGAAGCAACAAAGGTATGTCAATCCACTTTGCCATGCACCTTTTCCACGTGGGAAAGAGACCTCTTAAAAATCAAGTCTTGGGGGGCGCCTGGGTGGCTCAGTCGGTTGAGCTTCTGACTTCAGCTCAGGTCATGATCTCATGGTTCGTGGGTTTGAGCCCCGTGTCGGGCTCTGTGCTGACAGCTAGCTCAGAGCCTGTAGCCTGCTTCAGATTCTGTGTCTCCCTCTCTCTGACCCTCCCCTGCTCACCCTGTCTCTCTCTCTCTCTCTCTCTCAGAAATAAGTAAAAACATGAAAAAAAATTTTTTTTAAATCAAATCTTGGGGCACCTGGATGGCTCAGTCAGTTAAGTGTCCGACTTCGGCTCAAGTCATGATCTCGCAGTTCATGAGTTCAAGCCCTGCGTCAGGCTGTGGGCTGGCAGCTCAGAGCGTGAAGCCTGCTTCGGATTCTGTCTCTCTCTCTCTCTCTCTCTCTCTCTCTGCCCTTCCCCGCTTGCGCTTGCTCGCTCTCTCTCAAAAATACACATAAAAATTTGTTTTAAAAATCTGGTCTCGAGGCGCCTGGGTGGCTTAGTCGGTTAAGCGTCCAACTTTCACTTAGGTCATGATCTCGCAGTTCGTGGGTTCGGGCCCCGCGTCGGGCTCTGTGCTGACTGCCAGCTCAGAGCCTGGAGTCTGTTTCAGTCTGTGACTCCCTCTCTCTCCGACCCTCCCCTGCTCACGCTGTCTCTCTCTCTCTCCTAGAAATAAATAAAACATTTAAAAAAAAAAATCTGGTCTCTACTAAGACAAAGAGAGCTTGAAATAGTCATCTTAGATGCCTGAGAGTCAGCCTTTAAAATCCTAGGATTACATTCCTGACATGGGATAATCTCTCGTCAAATCATGAAATCAAACCATCTTTTTTTTTTTTTAAGTTTATTTATTTTGAGACATAGTGTGAGCCAGGAAGGGGCAGAAAGAGAGAGAGAGGAGAGACCGACCCCCAAGCAGGCTCCACACTGCCAGCGCAGGGCCTGACTTAGGGCTCAAAACAATAAACCTCAAGATCATGACTAGAGCCAAAACTGACTGAGCTACCGAGGCACCGTTTTTTTGTTGGTTTTTTTTAATGTAAGCTCTATGCCTAGTGTGGGGCTAGAACTCACGACCCTGAGATTAAGAGCATGCTCTACAAACTGAGCTAGCCAGGCACCCACAAACCATCATTTTAAATCCTTCCCCAAAGTGCATGGATCCAGGCACCACCTCCCTTTCATACAAACTGCCCTATTTATGCTTGGTGACTCACAATAGGCTCCTAAAATTTTATGGGATTTCTGCAAGCTTGTTACTTCCATTATTTGGTCAAAGAAAGCAAAGAACATCTGGATATCTAGCCTAAGACCTAGAAAAGTTGTCACAGCATTATAAATCAGGGTTTCAATTTTTGGGAGGTTACCCTAAGTTCAGGTCAGTCAACAACCTATAAGGGGCAGTTGCTGAGATAGCTGAATAAAACAGGAACATCCTCCCTTTCTCTGAGCTTACATTCCAACCAAGGAGGCTCTAACTAAGCACACATTTTGGTTTAAAGAATGTTTATCTTGAAAACTGTAAACGTCCCCCCCAGTAGCTCCTAGAAAGGAAGGGAGGCTGGAGAGTTATAGACAACCTTGAGCCCTGATTTTCAGGCAGTGTCAGCAATTGCCTTTGAGGATAATCAGGTGTTCTCAAAGAACGGTTAGTTTTACTCACTGATGAAGTTACTTGAAATCTACTTATCCCCTTTAGCAATCTCTTTGTCTGAGGTTTTATGGCTGTGTCGTTAGGAAGAAAAGCACTTGGAAGTCATTTTTAAATAGTGTTTGCACTCAGAATACACTTTCAAATTACACTTAGGGAGTCTGAGCACTTTTAATGCCCTGGAAGAAGTACCAGGTAGCTGATTCCAACTGATATGCAAGACCTTTCGGGGAAGAAGACTAAAAGCATTACATCACACTTTCCTCAAACTCCAGCCAAAAGCAAACTACCTGCTTCATTTTTAAATTTCATTCTGCCTACCCTGCTAATTCAAAGCAAAAAAAGAAAGTTGGGGTGGGAAGGAGAAGAAAACACTTTTTTTTTTTTAAGAAAACACTTTTTAAATATATATCAGATAAGAAAACTTACAAACTTGGTTGTATGTAAACTACAAGACTCCCTCTTAGTGATTCAGGGATGTACCTAACACTGAAGGAACACTAAAGAACACTGAGAACGTTAGGAAATTCTGGTTCTTTTGGTTTTGGTTTTGGTTTTGCAATTTTGAATGAGGCAAAGCATGGAACTGGCAGAGGACATAGAGGCCGAAGTATGCTGAAGTTGGGTGTGAGGACAAGCTGGCTGCCTAGGCTAGAAAAGAGGCAGAGGCAAGAGTGACTAGGAGGAGGGAATGATTGGCAGCCTGCCCAACAGAGCACGTGAAGGAAATCAGATCTGCTAACAACAAGCTCCCACAGACACTGGGTTTCTAAGCAAGGTACTAACAAAGACTCAGAGCAGGGTAAGCCTTGGAGATAATCAGCCCCTCATTTTACAAATGGGGAGAATGAGGCCCAGTAGCATTAAGTGACTTGCCTGAGGTCTCACAGTGAGTGGAAGAGCTGGGACTAGAGCCAAATCCAGATCAAATCCGTTAGTGAAGAGGATCTGACATTCATGTGAGGGATGAGGGGGAGGGGGAGGCACAGGACACAAAATAGTCTAGTCATTCAGGTTTGTCCTGATTAGGGCCCAGAACAGGATCATTCTGGATAAGGCCATGACAGATGACAGCCAGGGAAATAGGTACAGTTGACATAAGACATTTAGGGAGGGAAAACACACTGAAACTTAGAAATAGAGATGTTGGTACAAAAACGGAGACAGCATCCCAAACATAGAATCCCCATGAAAGAATGTCACCTTCCCACCAGCATTCCCCTTTGTGAAGCTCTCACAGAGATAAGCCAGGAGCTTCTATCCAAAGTCCAGACACCTGCCTTTCCCACGCCCATTTCCAGACCTAGAAAACCAAGGACTCCTTGGAAATTCAAACTCCTTGGAAATTCAGATACCTGCTGACTTGGGGTATCTCAGACTTCCAACCCACAGTAGGATGACAAATGAGGAACTAGAGAGACAAGATGGCTAACTACTATATCAGCTCTGAAGTATTCACTCGAAGACTCTATGTCAAGAATGATGTTGAGGGGTACCTGGGTGGCTCAGTCGGTTAAGCCTCCGACTTCTGCTCAGGTCATGATCTCACAGTTCGTGGGTTCCAGACTCATGTCAGGCTCTGTGCTGACACGTAGCTCAGAGCCTGGAGCCTGTTTCAGATTCTGTGTCTCCCTTTCTCTATGACCCTCCCCTGCTCACACTGTCTCTCTCTCTCTCTCTCAGAAGTAAAACATTAAAAAAAATTTTTTTTTAAAAAAGAATGATGTTCACACGTGGAACACCTGGCTGGCTCAGTCAACAGAGCACTCACCTCTTGATCTCAGGGTTTTGAGTCTGAGCCTCATGTTGGGCACAAAGTTTACTTAAAAAAAAAATTAGGGGTGCCTGGGTGGCTCAGTCGGTTAAGCATCCAACTCTTGATTTTAGCTCAAGTCATGATCTCACAATTCGTGAGATGGAGCCCCACAAGCAGTGCAGAGCCTACTTGGGATTCTGTCTCCCTCTCTCTCTGCCCCTCTCCTGCTCATTCTCTCTCTCAAAATAAATAAACTTAAAAAAATTATGTTCACAATTAAGCAAGAAATATTTAAGCATTTAAATTTGGCAAAATACATAGAAATTCAAACTGACCAAGAAATTTTAGCCATGGCTTTAAAAGCTAAATGCTAGAATAACTATAATTAAGTATAACTCATAATCCTCAGAAGGGGAGCATGGCCTTGTAGAAACTTGAGGGGATATCTCTGGATAAAGTAGAAAATAATACCCCAGCAAAAGGCTAGCCACTATCTTTTTGTTTCCAGAGATATGGGTGGGCTTTGTGTATAGAAACCCACTACTCAAAGTATAGTTCAGTAACATTAGCATTACCTCGAATTAGAAATGCAGATACTGAGGTCCCACCCTAAACCTACTAGATAAAAAGGAGCATGTTAGCAAAGACCCTCCTTCCATAGGTGATTTATACCACATGCAAGTTTGAGAAGCACCAATGTAGAATACTTTAAAGATGCACTGTATATAGCGGTACCAAACAAAGTACCAAACAGGCATATTAAAGAGACAAAATACGTGCTCACTTTCTGTAATCGTATTTTATTAGGTACTGCTCAGACAGACTTCCAATGTTTTTTAATCAATTTGGTACTTAACTAACGACCATATGATCTAAATGTGGCATATATCTCACTTCCTGAAATAGAATACCTTAGCTCTAGGGCTTTCATGAATATGAAATATAAAACAGTTGTAGCTCAGAGCCTGGAGCCTGTCTTTGGATTCTGTGTCTCCTTCTCTCTCTCTCTTTCTGTCCCAACCCTGCTCATGCTGTCTCTCTCTCTCAATATTAAATAAAACATTTAAAAAATTTTTAAAAAAATGAAACAGCTTAGTTGTTCTGAAAATGCAATATGGTTAATTTTATTCAAGTTCCCACACTGAGTTCAGAGCACTTTTCCACAAGCCCCATTAATTCCTACAGGTCCCTGGGAGTATCATTAAATCCCCCAACATCCCCAAGAAGCAGGTGCTT